CTGGCCACATGCCCTGCACGCCTCCGGGGGTCTTTGCATCTGGGACCCACAGGTGCTCCTGGACCAAAGAGGTGAATTAAGGTATGGGCCACCCTTCGGTCTTCTCTTGGATTCCTTGTTTGTTTTCCTTTGGCTCTGTGAGTCTCTCTGGTAATTGCAAGTTGCCGTGTTTCAGCAGCAGAGCCCCAAACCTGTTGTCTGCCTCATTCATTGTGCAGACTTTAAATTGCAAATAGACTTGATAATAGAAGAGAGGAACTGAGGAAGACTGAATAATAGGACAAGATCAAGACTTGGATACTACAGTGCTGAGCAGCCTCAAAGCAGTGATAACAGATAAAATCAAATTACCTGAATCTGGGTGTATTTCACAATTAAAAATAATGTTTTTAATTAAAATAATTCCAGTGGAGAAGGAAGTAAAATATACTAATCATTAGCCAAGTTTTATGCTCTTCCCATAGCTTCGTGTGCATCTGGTAGAACATGCTATAAATCTGCAAGCTGCTATGAAGAGCCCACTGTCAGGTTTCTATGAAGCGCACTATATAATACCCATTTTGTTACATTCTTCTCGATAATAACATGGTCCTGTCACTCCCAGGACAGACATATTGCGCTGTGCACATACATGAATCATCAGGATGAGGTATAAAGCATCAAGATCTAGATTTTAGAAAATGCTGAAAATGCTGTTTAATTTGCTCTGTGTGAGGGTGTATTTGTGATGGTAGAGAATCGCCCTCTCCCTCTCCTTCCAGCTCAGGTTGCTAGCAGACCCGGAGGTGAAAGACTGACGACTGCAAGGTGGAACAGGAGCTCTAACACCAAAAGCAGCGTGTGAGACAAACCCTCCTTCTTCCAAACCTGAATTTCAGTGTAGGGCATGGTGGGGTTAATAGCAGAGCAGGTTACACTGGAGCTGTTTGGCGAGGGAGGAGATGGGAACAGATTGCCAAGGCACAATTACACTAAATGAAGGAAGCACGGGCCACACCTGTGCCTGGGACCCGGCGCTCAAAATCCAGCCCTGATTGGATCCCCAGAGACTTCCCGGAGGTAAAGTGTCAATTAGTGTAATGACCCTGGACTTTGTCCACTCCGTTCGCTCATTCTGAGCGTGGAATAATTTCATGTACGCTGGGGGATCGCTTTTAGCAAACTCCTCACAACACCACCTGCTCACCCTCTCATTCTTCCAGTGCTATTCCCAGCTCTCCTTCTGCAGGATTGTTGAACTAGAATATGAAATGCAGCATGCCCCGGAGGCAGCGAGGTCTGGATCTTCCTGCAGACAGTAATGCCCAAACACCTGTATAGATAATACCATCTTTTTTTTGAACAGAGAATGTAGCAAACCCTGCCCTTGCAGCCCACGTCCTGCATGTGCGTTCAGGGAAATGATGGGACTCCACGTAACAGTAAGAGAGGCTCCCAGCTCCCTTAACAACTCAGACTGATTACCACGAAGTAATTATCCCCATCTTACATACGGATTAAAGACCCTCTTCTCGTGTAGGTTTTCTCTCAAAATGCACTTCTTGCGTACGGCTGGAGACAGTTTCAGCCCCCGTGTGCAATCAGTAAACACTTTACAGATTGCTGCGTGGAGATGGGAGCTTGGTGCGCTTTGTGGAGCTGAACAGGTTGGTCTGAGCAAAACCTGAGCTCATCGGAGCGAGGAAGGGGGATCTCCATGGGGCCAAGACAGGAAGACCAACCCTCAGGGCCGGCACAGCCCTGTCTCTGCGTGACTCCAGTTTCACGTGAACGCCAGCCTGCAGGCATTGCAGTCCCCTGCTGCGTGTGGAGACTTGATACCCGTCTGGATGAGGAAGATGGCCCATGTGTTGCGCTGAGGCATCTGGAGATGAGCTGTGATGATCTTCCAGTATTGAATGACACCTTACAACACTCGGGGTCCATCGCTGTCGTGTACTGCACCACAAGGAAGACAGCTGCGATCGGATATGTTTTAAGCCAGTGTCAACAGGTTTAGCCAGCTTAAGAGCATGTTAAGCCCTCCTGAGACGAGGTTTGTAGGTTAGCAGTATGACTGGGAGCATAATCTATGCAAGTTCTTTAGCCAGCTTTGCACTTACGTGAGCAGTGCGAGGCTTTTATAGGTGCCAAGCCGTTTCTATCATGCTTCTGGGGGAAGTAATTTAGCCTATGCTAAATGCTGAAATAATGTAAAAGCGTAGAAGCTGCAGGGGAGAGCAGTTCAAAAACACCAGGAGCTGAGGTTAGGCCAAGATTTCCTGTCACTGCTGAGCTAGCTGAAAAAGCCAGGAGTGTCCTGAACATGGGAATTAAAGCAAAAAGATGATTTAAATACTTGAGCCTACTTTGTTATGCTGCGACGTTCACATGTCTTAGGTTGCTAATGAGCAGCAATGCCGTGGATAAATGCAGTAGTTAAGATTACAGCAAAAAAAGTTTTTTTTCACTGCAACAGGACTGGCATATTTAGAGCAAAAAGCAGCGGTCGTGAGAACATATTGTTTATCTTTCATCCAGAGCACAGCTGTGTTTTCCACTGGTCTGTCCAGATTATAGCTAATTTGGAATCCTATGTATGAAAAGCCGTTTCGGTGGATGAAATTGGGCGCTCTCTTTAGCACTTAAATATTTGCAAAGATGCTGTAGAGCTTAATTAGTTAGCAGCAACATTTTATCTTAGGGGTCCACTTCCAGAAGAAGATCTTCAATACTGGAGAGATGACACAAGTATGTGACAGAAATAAGTACATTAGATAGTTACAAGAGCGGCAGTAGGAGGCATGAAATGATTTGATATCTGCAGTATCTGTTAGACTCTAACAATTGATTAAAATATGTATTAATTCATATTGATCCTTAATACGAGTATCTTAATCAAGTGTGATTAGCTCAGGTGTGGAAGAGTTTTCAATCCTGGCACAACAGGTGCATTAGAAATCTGAAACACTGAAATGCACGTGTCTCCCGAAACTGCATTTCAGCTCGGTTTCCCTCACTGGAGTACGCAGGCTTTAAAATGTTCCTGGCTGCCCTGTTTCACCCAGCCTCCAGCTCAGGGGCCCGACGTGCTGGGTGCGTCCCTGGTACTCGCCTGCGGTTTTAGGCAGCCTCCCTCGGTGTGTTTGCCTCTGCAGCCTTTGCTCTCCGCGTGCAGGCTCTCCCGTGTTCGCTGTGCTCTGCGTGTCGACACAGGTTAGCTTCAAACCCTCTCTGCCTCTCTTTAAAAATCTGTTTTGATTTTTTTCAAGCGTGCTGCAGTGCTGGCAATCCTGCGTGCTTGAAATGCGACCAGAGGGCTTCCAGATAAAATCTCGCCGACCCGAAAGGCCGTTGTGCCACCGGGATGCAACAGTGGCCGAGCCGAGAGATTGCTGCCTGGAGTGTCCTCATCAGGGTGTGAGCCAGAGCCTTTGGCAGCTCCCAAACTTCTGCCTGTCCCTCTGTTTTCAGCAGTCTTTGGGGCAGCTGTGAGAGCTGAGGTGGGATGCATGGGGACAGAAGCAAGCAAATTCAGGAGCTTCGCAAGAATAGTCTGAATTTCAGGGTGGTCCGTACAGATCGCACAGCCGGCCCTGGTGATAGCCTCTCCACCAGGATACAGCTAGCTGGGTGTGAGAGCAACAGATTAGTTTGCTCGAGCTGGTCATTTTGAATTCCCTTCCGGTTCTCTATCAGCAAAGCTCAGGCCCATCCCCACAATCAGCTTCTCTCTGGACGGTTGCCGAGATGTGATATTTATAGGCTTTACTGGAAACTGTTGGCACATTACCGGGCTTCGAAATGTGATTGTTTTTCAAAGAAGGAAATTAGCTGGAGTGTGGGGCTGGTGGCCAGCTTGGACTGTAAGCAAAGGGAGCCTGAGGTCAGGACCAAGCTGCATTGTTTCTTTTATCTTCAGAAGCAATTTGCCGCTCTCTGTTTTTTAAGTGACTCTTAACGTGGTGGACAAAATGAGATCATGGGGTAGTAATCCCCCATTTTAGAAATACTTGAAGTATTAGTGAAGTACACCCTGAACCACTTAAACAAGTACCTACTGGAGTAATCGAGTGGATAGCAGTCTAGTAATTTATAACCCTGTATGAGGGGTTGGAGCATGACAGATGGGTCCCAGCTTGGAATAATAAAGCTGTAATGGAAGAATGTAGATGGGGCAGAACCCCAGGGTGATGTTGCGAAATGCAGGAGGTATTCTTGTCTTGGACTAGTCACTTCTATTCTTCTTCTCCATCTTCCTGTTTGCATAATATTAGTTCATCTTATTTGGTGATTGTGAAGTTTTACTAGCCAACGGTTGTATTTGAAACCCTTAGCTTGAGAACACTCTTGGAGAACAAAGTATTGACATTACCTTCCTTTCCCTAACATGTTCAGAAAAGCACTTGAAAGAGCGGAGGATGAGCGTGCAGAGAGCTGGGTGACGTCTGGAAGGATCGCCTCAGCAAACTTGTTTATGTACTAATGTGTCTGGCAAGGTGTTTGTCCTGTGTCTGGGAAGTCTCCCATGATAATCATTGAAGGTACAGCTCTAGGACAACCCCAGAAGCACCCTTCTTTGTACATGCGGCCTTTGCCAACAAGATCCCCCTTGGGAATCAACACAAGCTTGCAGCGTGTCTGCCTGACTGCAAAGCAACACATTTGGGGCCACTGGGACTAGCAGGTTTGAAAGCTGAAGCCCCATGCTGAGATGATCTGCCAGGAGCCATGTGCTGCTTTGCTGGGGAGGGCAAGCCATCTGCCGTCCTTGCTGCCCTAAACAGAGCATCTCAAACCTGCAGGCCCCAGGCCCAGCCAGGCTGGACTCTGTCAGCCCAGATGTTTCACTCCCCTAGAGACCTGTGGGCAATTAGTGTCAACTGGATGTTTACGTATTCTTCTCTTTTGCTGTAGCCCAGGAAAAGTCTTCTGACCTAGCTTAGTGATGTGGACACTGGAATGATGCCGTCCGTGTATGAAGCCCCGCTGATAACACCTGTATTTTTTTCATGTTCTAGTTTTGCCAGCGATGAATACCAAAGGGCTATGGAGCGAATATCTATCGTTGTCCAGCAGCACAAAGCAGCCATGGTGCCAGGGGAGCCACAGCTTAACGTGTGCGACAAGGCCGTCATGGTGAGCAGTCGAAGCATGAACACATTTGAGAATCCTTAGCTTAAAATGTATTTTGTAAAGGCTTTATAAAATGTCACCTAATGCTGGGAAGGGCTGGAGAAGAGATGCGCGCTCGGCCGTTGGGAGGGCTGTCTGGCTGTTCCGTGGAGGAGAGGGCTCTTTGTTACCTGTGGAACCCAGCGGTGTAGGAAGGCTCATACAAAGCGAGTGGCGTTGGGTCTGGAAAGTCTACCAACGTGCTGTGACAAACTCTGTGGCTTCCTTCCTTAGAGATATGGCACTTATCTACAGCTGTAGAACCTTCTTCTCCTTTCTAATCCCCTTCTGCAAATCTCAAAAGTCTTCGGCTTGGAGTGGTGGGACTGGGACAGTGGCTCTTTCTCAGTGATGTGTAGGGGTAACTTTGGTCTTGCTCAGTTTCCTCCAATTCCACCCATGCCTGACTTTTCCAAAGTTTTTATGGCTCGAAACATGACAAACATTTTCAATTCTGTCTTCTGTTTCCAATTGCTTGTTGGAAAGTTACAGTTTGGCTTTCCTGTCAAATGCTGCTTGGTTTGTTGAGAACCTGGGAAAGAAACTAGATGGTTTGTGGGAGGTAAAGTTGTCAGATAACTAAAGCCTGTGTAGTCTAAGGGAATGGGCCTGTAGACTGACACAAAATAGTAACAGGCAAAAATCTTTCTGACGCTGAAATAATCTTTTGAAACAGTCAGTACCTGCTGCTTAGGCTCTATCTCCAGCCAGACAGAAAAGTACAGAATGTGGAGCTGGGTCTCCTTAGTGAGAAGGCAAAGATCTTTTTTAGCTTTGTCATATCTTTTTATTTTTGGATGTGAAGTAGGAAAAAGATTTGAAGGACTATTGTTTCTGTGTTGTTTTCTTTCATTATTCAACTTTTCCCTTAATAAACACTGTTTTGTGCTCCTCTGGGACCTTCTGGGTTCAGGCACTCTCCCCAGTGCCTGGCTGCTGCCAGAGACCTTCACTGGAAAGGCATTTCTTCTGTGCTAACTCCAGCTCAAAACTGGTCCATAAATTGCAGGCATGCTCCACTCTTCTGTGGCTGCCCCCGGGCAGCGTGTCTAGGTGCTGTGAAAACATCTGGTATCCCTGTTTGTCAACAAACAGTGTTGCACAACGGGAAGAGTGCTGGACTAGAGGTCCCGTACTTCATCCCGTACCCCAGCCCTCTCCGTGGGGCTATGCAGAGTCAGTCTTCTCCCTGAGCGTGCCTTGTTCTGTCTCAGCTGAGGAGAAGTTTTGTAGACCATGGGCTGCCACTTCTGCTTTGGCTGTGGCAATGTCCAGGGCTTGGCCAAGTCCAGTTACACCTGCCTGGTCTGTGAGCAGAGGCAGCTCCAATGCTTGGCTGAGCTCAAACCAGATCATTCAGGCCGTCTGTGGCAGAGAGCCCTCCCCGGTGCGCTGAGTAGGATTCTAATCTCAGGAGAAATGTTCAAATCCCAGCAGTAAGCTTTTTTACATTTTGAGTTTTCTATTCTATGTAAACTTCTAACAGGCTACATGGTCAGAAAACTAAAGTAAACAGGCACTAAATTGTTGCCTTTTGAGACCAGAGATGAAGATAACCAAATCTTTTTGGAGTGGTAGTATTGCTGGGGTTGATAGGGCCCAAAATCTGGTTTTGGAGGAGATAAATATCTCCTACTAATACTATGCTCAACACGGTCTTCTAAATTCTGTCACCTATGGGTGATATGGGCATTTAATATCCTTTCTGGGACAGAGGAGAAGAATTGTCTTTACTTATATGCAAGCAAAGCAGATGGATTGCTTTGTAGCTACTGCGGTCTTGGGATTGATGTTGGACTTGATGGTCTCAAAGGTCTTTTCCAACCTAAACGATCCTGTGATGTGAGCACAGCAGCAGCAGCCCTCCTGAGCAGGGGAAGCATTTGCTGGCCCGTCCGCGGTGTAGCCCACCAGCAGCGTAGATGAAGCTCCCGCAGAGCCAGTTCTGCTGGGTTTTCCTCCTGTGGAAGTGTAGGAGGAATTGCTCCATGCAGCGGAGCCGTGCTGGCTTGGCCGTGTGTTGTACTTGCAGCACACATGGTGTCCTCAGGGCTCTCGGCGCTTACACCACGGATCCAGGAAAGCTGACTTGGACTGCGAGACTGAAGCAGATACGATCACAGAATCACAGAATCACAGAATGGTAGGGGTTGGAAGGGACCTCTGTGGGTCATCCAGTCCAACCCTCCTGCCGAAGGAGGGTCACCTACAGTAGGCTGTAGAGGACCTTGTCCAGGCGGGGCTTGAATATCTCCAGAGAAGGAGACTCCACAGCCTCCCTGGGCAGCCTGGGCCAGGGCTCCGTCACCCTCAGAGGGAAGAAGTTCTTCCTCGGGTTCAGCTGGAGCTTCCTCTGCTCCAGTTTGTGCCCGTTGCCCCTTGTCCTGTCGCTGGGCAACACTGATCCGTTTTTTTTTTTGAAAGAACAAACATTTCATTTCATTTCATTTCATTTGTTTCTTTGGATCTCTGTTGCTTCTACAGAGTGGTCAGGCACCTGGAATTTCCAGCAGTGATTGCGCATTTTAAAATTGAGAAACGGATTTAGAAAACAGCATGAATGGTTCTTAAACCGTCTGGAGCCCTTGGTGCAGCGAGGTGCCTTCTGCCAAAGCTCCCCTCTGTGCTCTGCTCCTTCTGCAGAGATAGCTGGTGTCTCACTGCCATCTGTTGTCAGCTCCATGGAATAGAAACCTGCTCCGGCATTTCTTTCTGGGGTTAAGCTTTTCTTTTCCTCTGTAGGAATTTAGTTCCAAGAAAACGTAAATGACTTGAAGGATAAAAATAAGTATAATGAAAGGCAATAGGTCAGAGCTGAGCTGAGCTTTAACAGCTGATGGCAGGAATCTCCCATGGACGGACAGACCTTGAGAGGGAGGGACAGAGGATGAATGCAAAAGATTTCTGAAGGCAGAATGAGAATTGTAACATGCCATTCACATCACCACAGTCCCAAGTTTTAAATGACAAACCCCCATGTACCTGAAAAAGTTTTTGTCCAAATTCCTTCCTCTGTTGATCCCTTTGGAAGCTGAGGTTTGCAGTGGATTTCCGTGCTGACGTCGTTTCTCTGTTGTACACATGCTGGAGAAAAGTAGTTCAAGAAACACAAAAACAAGGGAAGCAAATAGTTTGGTCTGCATGCACTGGAGTAGTTGTCTTATAAATGCCTCCTACTCCATCTGTTCATGAATTCATCCATCAAAATGCTTATTAAAATACCAGCATTCTTACCTCGCTCACAGCCTTGGCCTTCTGTTGCCTTTTGCTTGTTTCCTCAAGAAAGCGCCTGGATATCTTAGTGCTAAGAAGGATAACTCTTTTCTGGATCTCAGGAAAATTGGGGGTTTCACCTCATGACGGTCTGCTTGCTCCATGCTACCAGAGCAAAGAGAGGAAGGTCGCCAGAGCCCCAGCAGGCTGCATTTGTACAGGAGAGACCACTGTATCTCAGAAGAGAGAATCATCTGCTGCAGAAGGATTTGTAGTCTTTCCTAAAGCTTTTTTTGAATAGCGTTTGGAGTTGGGAAGTTGATGAGCCCAGGAGCATCAGCTGCAAGAGGAGTTTCATTTTTCAAGCAGGACATAAGAACGTCTTTGTGAGATTCAAAATGGGTTGGTTAGGGTACAGGGCTTAGCAAACACTTGATGTGAATAATTTTTCTGTAATTTTTTTGTTTGTTTTTAACAGAATTGGTCTCCTGCAGGCTGTGAGAAGCTAGGGAAGTGCCTGACACCGCCCAAGTCTGATCCTAAGAAGTGCTTTTGGCCTCACTGATCTTCTCCGCAGCCCTCAGGAGCTACACAGAACAGCTACAACGGACCGGACATGCAGTTTACAGTGCATGTCTTCTCATGTTGGCACTCCTGTTTACACAAGAAGGGTGGGATGTACGTATGACATCATCATCTGCTCTTCCAAAAGGGCCAGTGTTTATATTGCTAATGCTCAGGGTTTAGCCTGTACTCTTCTGCTGTTTTAGTTGTTTCCGTACATGGTAACTTTTCAGTGAAGACTATTTCAACTGTAAAAGCTCTCTGAACAGCCACCACTCTGCCATCACCTCAGAAACGCCATGGATGCACCTTTCCTCTTGCTGCTTGCACCCAGCCTGCTCTCTCAAATCATTGCTTATTCGGATGCCGCAACAGCAGCCGTGGGGGACTGTTAAGGAAACTTCCAGCTGCCAGAAAACCCTGCCCAAACTGCCCTTGTTTTGTTTGCCTGTAACTTGTTGTTTTAACATTTGATTTCCATTGTGAACTCTTTGGACACCAACTTGTTTTTTCTTTCTTCCTAAACTGGGAAGTACTGGGTGCAGCTGTACGGCCCAGACTGCTGCTGTGCATCGCTGGGTGCTGCAGACAAGTGCTCCCTCCCCTTCCCGACTAAGGGGCTGGCTCCAGGGAGGAGAACACCCTTGCCTGCCTTCCATCTGTAGCTGCTAACATTCCCTAGGTAAGGGTATAAAGAAATGTGAAGATCATGTTCATGCAAGTATTGCCTTATTGATGGTGTGCCGGATATCCTTAGGGCGCTGGGGGTTGGTTGTTCATTTAAGGGGTTTTCTTCATTTCCAAAAAGCTGGGCCCAAATATGGTTTAAATCATGCTTCTAGTCTCATGATCCGGGCTCAGCCAACTGCCGGCTCAGAAATGCCCATTTACATCAGATGTTAGCTCTTGACCCTGTTTCCAGCGTACACTCTCTGAGGAATTCTCTTTGTGCAAACTTTCCACAGCCTGGGTGTAGGACTTCTCTAGACAGAGTTCATGGTCAATGCCGATCACAGAATCACAGAATCACAGAATCACAGAATAGTAGGGGTTGGAAGGGACCTCTGTGGGTCATCTAGTCCAACCCTCCTGCT